TATATATATATATATATACATCTATATATATAAATATATATATACATATATAAAGTATATAAAGGTATGGGAGAAAAAAGAATACGGTGGGTGGGTTTAAAGGGGGCGATGAACGAAATCGAAATCGAAACGAAATCTTCAAAGTTATTCATAAGTTGGTAGTTTTTGTTTTTTTTTTTTCTGTTTTGCTTTAAACTTTACCGCAAAATACTTTTAACCGACGAATTCATCGAATACTGTCTAATATTATTTCTATAATTCATTTTGTTTTTCGCTTTTTTCTATAAATATAAAATATTTGTAAATATAAATTATATAAATATGTATGTATATATGCATATGTGTAATTATTCATAAATTTTATATATTATTTACCGTTCTTTTTTTCATGTTTGTAACAACACGTTTGGAAAAAGAAAATGGAAATTTTGAGTATATTATATATATATATATATATATATATATATATATATATATATATATATTTTTATTTTTTTTTTTTTTTTTGCTTGTTTTTTTTTTTTCCTTTTTTTAATGTTTTATATTTTATTTTCCAAAAAAATGTCACCTGTTTCAATTGGCCACATACATACATATGATGCATGGAAAAGACAAATAGATGGATAAACAATTGTTAAACAATTCGCCTTTCTCCCTCCACTCCCTCCCTCCCACCACGAAGAGACGTGTGACGTAAGTCTCATCGGTAAGCAAAAAATTTTGAATTATTCTCGAGATCGAAACGAAAAGGACAGAACACCATTAGTTAGCATTATTTGTCGCAATATCGGCTATCCATTCATTGTGGGTTGGATTTTCAATCGAACTCGTTGTTCACTTTGTGTTTTGCGTTAATGCATGAAGGTATTTATTTATTACTTTGTTATCTCATGGTTTTGGTTTTTGTCAATATGCTAACGGTGTTCATCTGATGAGAGGTGTTTTTTTTTTTTTTTTTTTTTTTTTTTTTTGTCGTCGCTGCTCCTTGCAACGTTGTATGTGTTCAAATGAAAACAGGTTGAAAGCACCGATTTTCAGCTAAGTTTTTCATTTTGTTCTAATAAAAACTAATGTAAGACCTAAACGATATATATGCAGCCATATATATCTATACGTAAATATGTATCTATATATATGTATGTTATCTATATATGAATGTTTAATATTACAAATATGTGCAAGTTATGTGCGCCTGTATATGTGTGTACACTTTCAAAATAATAGGTATTAGCCGGATTCATCTTCTATCCAAAATTAATTTTTATTATTACTATTATTATTATTATTGTTATTTTGATATTATTATTATTATTATTATTATTATTATTGTTCTATTATAATATTATTATTTATTCATGTTGAATTATTTTCACTATTATTTTTTATTAATTTTTAAAATAAACTTCTTATATTAATCACAAAAGATGACTCCTTTTAAATTAAGTATTCCAAGCACATATATTTTTATTTGTATATACAAAATTTTTTGAAATTGTTGTTCTCTGTTGTTGTTTATACTTAAAGCCCTCTTTGAATTCTATGCAAAAGCTAATTTTTATTTTTTCTATATTTTTTTGTTTAAACAATAAGGCATAAGAATGTGTAAAAAAGTGGTCGTCAAAAAGGAACAAAAGAAAAAATAGGAGAAAATGGAAGAGAAAAAACAACAAGTAGGAGTAAAGATAATGGAATATTTATTGCTTGCCAAGGAATTAGGTTGAGGATAATTATAGTTTTGGTCGAATTATTTTCAAGTATGCAGTTTCGTTGCAGTTGTATCCCTCATACAGTTCACAGTTAATTATCAAGCATGTAATCATATATGTATGTATGTATGTATGTATGTATGTATAGAGTATGAAGTGCATTTTGTGGCTGTACGCTGTAAATATTAGAAGTCCTTTTTCATTTTATTACCAACTTTTGAGATCATTTGCTCTTAAGAGTAAACTGACGGTCAATGTTGATTATTCGTCAGCCACAGAATTTTGATTTATGTGTTCGGTGTGGAAGTTATCGATGAAGCAAGAGTGGCACGGAAAAGAACAATGGAATAGGAGATGGGAATGGGGATAATAGAATCTTTGGCATATGCTTAATAGCGCCTACGATATTAAGGAAGAAATTTCTTTTACATTTATTTGTTCATTTTGGTGTATATACGAGTATTGCACACGGATTTTTGAAGTTGGGTTGCATTTGTATAAAAAATTATCGTTACATTTCTCTTGTTTGAGTGAATTTTTTGTAAACTATATATAAATGTGTGTATGTATGTATGTATGTATGTATGTATGTACGGATGTATGCATGGATGTATGTATGTATGTATGTATGGATTTGTGTATGTATGCATGTATGCATGTGTGCGTGTGTTTGTGTGTTTGCATGTATATATTTATGTATGTACGTATGTATGTATGTATTTGAATTAAAATTTATTCTAATTTGTTTGCTAACAAGATTATATTTAAGGAATAGTGATGGGAAAGGAGGGCAAGTAATTGGTGGTTTCCTTTTAATATTAGTTTTCTATGTGCATTCAATAATCATGGGCTGATTGGATTCGATGACAGACGGTCGTGAGTCTTGTGTGTGACCCAACGGATGTTGAGCGGCCGCAGTATGAACGCTTGCTTCATGATTGCTTGTCGCAATCATATGAATTGGAGGTTTCGTTACTTTATGGTTCGGCTGGGGCAGTAAGTGTTGCGGATGCTGTTGATGCATTGGCTGCTGCTGTTGATGCAACTGATTGGCGGTAGTTAATAGCATAGTGGCGGCTGCGCTTGTTGGCGGTGGCAAATGTGGATGATGCAACATTGACATGTGCTGTTGTTGCAAATGACCGTGGGTTTGTGTCGCTACTCTACTAGGTGTTGTAAAATGTTCAACATTGGCTACATTGATGTGTCTCATATGGGGATGAATTTGTTGTTGCATCTGCTCGAATGCTTCTCTGGAATCCGGCTCCGTATGATCTTTATCTGCAAGTTAACATATTTTATAATTAATCTTTAATTCTTTTTATTAAATTGTTGGTATAGCATATTATATATAGCATAGTCTCCTTTTACCTAAACATTCTGAAGTGGCTGCAGCGGCCATCGCTAATTCTTCCTCTAAATTGTTTGGTTTGCAGCTTGTTGTTTTCCAATGTGTACGTAAGCCCGACGCACTAATGTATTTCTTATCACAACCTTGACATACGTAAGGACGATCGTTGGTATGCAATCGCTTATGTAATTTTAAATGAACGAATTGTGTAAACTTTTGTGGGCATAAATCGCACGCATACGGTTTTTGGCCGCTGTGCAAACGTAAATGTGTTTTCAGATTCGATGTTGATGAGAAGCGTTTTTTGCAAATGTCACATTGATGCGGTTTTTCGCCGGTATGTACTAAGTGATGCTTTTGCAAGTGGGCCAGCTGCGTGAAGCTCTTCGTGCAGACGTTACATTTAAAAGGCCGCTCACCCGAATGGGTCCGTAAATGTACCTTCAAATTGCTAAGTTGTCCGAACGTTTTGCAGCAAACATTGCACTCGTAATGCATTTTGCCGTCTTTCTTTTTGAGAGGGTAGGGAAGCGAACGATATCCACGCGAAGCCAAAGTATTTGGACTAAGCGGACTACCGCTGGGTGGGCAAGAGTTGCCATCTGGACTTATGCTGCTGGGTGGAGATATTCGTAGCGGGGATAGCCTTTGCAATGGTGTTAAAGATTGCATGAGAGCATGATTCATTATTTGTGTATTGCCTGGCAATAGGTGCAGGTTTGGATTTGAACCTGAAGAGGAATGTGATTGGCGATCGAAAGGCGATTGTGTACTACGAGTAGGTGAATGGAAAGTGGAAGAAGCAGCGTGTAAATGCATGCTCGATGGCTGCGCATTTACGTTGCTATTAGAATAAGGTGAGTACGCTGAATAAGGTGGCGTATGCTGACCTTCAGGCACATATGCTCCGTTTAAGCTGTTAGGCGAAAAGAGAACGTGATGCTGCTGGTGCGTCGTGGGTGGAGGCCCCGGAGAGCACAGATCTTTTTTGCATGACGATGACAAATGCAAGTCCGTTTCGCTGTCTATTGTACTATGATCTGGCATCCTAGCTATATTAGAACTGGAGTCTGGATTTACTGCGCTACCATAACGTTGTGATTTCTTATAGGAATAGGCCATTTCGGTTGGCGAAGAAGGTGGTGGAGTGGCCGAGTTAACTTGACGGCAGCCCACAACGACGGCTGCGGCTGTATTTTCAAGTCGATGTTGGTGCTGACCAGTTAATATCGTTTCTAAAATACTTGAAGGCGGTGTATAGCGTATGTATCCCGGTGTTGAGGGCATTGGCGAAGTTGATTCGGCCTCATAATAGGATTTTGTAAGGGGAACTATTGTGCGTTTTTGACTTGATTCGAGCACTATGACCGTACTGGAAGCTGGTTGTATTGTAGCAATGGGCTCGGTGTTTGAATTTCTCGATGATCTGCAATCAGCGTCGGTCAGCTCATCGACTTGTGCCGGCGAGGTGCAACTTGTTGTTGTGATTGCACCAAAGCCATTATGATGATCATCTACACCTGAGCTGGCACTAACTTGGAATTCGTCGTTTGGTATATTGGTGGCGTTGGTTGCCTCAGTCTTGATGCTATTCTTAAACTCGTACTTAAGTGGCATTTTTACCTTGAACTTTCTATACTCGTTCTTGCAGCGATCAAGTGCCGCAATTGGAGGTCCTGTGATCGGACTGGTAGTGGTTACGTTGCAGTGCTTTTGGGAATGTGCAATTACCGTTTCTTTGGGAGCGATCGCCTTTTTTGAACAATCCAATACATAATTATGTTCACTCTCACTGTCGCTATCATCTCCACCGGATGGGGTTAAACCATCTTCATGATATTCGTTGCTGTGGTAACCCTCATCTGAACGCACCGAACGGACGCTACCATCATTTGGCGTTAGCTGATGATCATATTGCGCTTCTTTTTGCAATACCGGTGAACTATTCACATTTTTCATGTCTTTGCCTGTGCAATCCTTCTCAGATGCGCAATTATCTGGTACAATTACCGAAGAGGTGGGTGAGATGCCGGTGGTGGACGTCTCAGGCTTTAAATGTAGAACGCTCTGATGCGGTTGGTGATGATTCGACGTTCGTATTAATGATCGCGGGTTTTGACTGTGATGAATATGCGGATGGACCGTGTGATTAATTGGCGGTGAGGAAGGGCTTGCTGTTGACAGGCACCTCTCAGGCTGGGATGGTGCCGGCGGTGATGCTGCTAATGGAGGAGGCAGATGTAGGCCCATTACGTATGTTATATGATTGTAAGCCACCTCTGGCGAGATTTCTGTCGCAGACAACCGGTACGGTGAGCATGGTCGCTTCGCAATGCAATTGTTTTCTTCGCTAGTCGGTATTTCGCCTACTTCGGTGTCAGGCTCTTCATCTTCTTCATCAACTGCTTGCTTGCAGGCGAATATTGTGCGTTCCGGATCCACATCGTAGCCAAGGCGTCTAGCAAAATCCTTGCAATACCACACCATCAGTTCTTCATTTGGAACAATGTCTCTTGTAGTATAAAAATAAATATTCTCTTGATGCTGACAAGCCACGAGATTCATCGCGTCTAAGCTGTATGCAGAGGCGACATAGCGCATCCAGTTAGATTGCGAACGATCTGAACCATCCAGGTAATAAAAATCATCATCTTTAAATATCTGCAAGATTTCCGAAAAAAAAACATATTTGAGGGCAACAAAAAGAGATTCTGCCAGTAAGTACACTACAACACACAAATACACAAAAATACATGTACATTAATATTAACATTAGCTACAATAGTTTTTAGAAAATTAAAGTAAACTTCTGAGAAGTAGGACGTGGTGTCATCATAGTGCACTGCGTCCTATCAAAGAAATTCCCAAAGCACATACATACGCATACATAGAAATATTTGTTAATGCAAACACCAAAAACTTATGCAGTACAGAGAAAGACAGACAAAGAGAGAGAGTAAGAGAGTAAGAGAGTGAGAGAGAGTGAATGAGAGAGAGTGAGTGAGTGAGTGAGTGAGAGAGAGAGAGAGAGAGAGAGAAGAGAGAGAGAGAGAGAGAGAGAAAGAGAGAGAGAGAGAGAGAGAGAGAGAGAGCGAGCGAATTTAACCGGAGATAGATAAACAATTAACAACAGAAAAAGAGAGAAAGTAAAAGCGTGTCTATGTTTTGATGTCTGGAATAGAAATGAAAAGAAGTTGGAAGGAATATGTTAAAATGAGAAGATTGTTACTCGATTTAGTTCGAATTTTCCGGTACCCATCACCGGTTTTGTTTATTCATTTTTACAAGGTTATTAAACGGATATCTACGCGGAACCCATGGAATAATATGTTTCGGATATATTTTAAAATTTGAAAAGTGGAAAGACCTATTTATGGTGGGAATTATTATTCCACAATTTAGTGCAATTCCTGTCAAAAATATCTGTCTTATGGAGTTACATTAGGATCATGGGCAATAATGATGGATGGGTCCTCGGAACTTTTCCAATCCAAATGATTTCAAGAAACAGATGAACAAAGTCGGATGAATTGTAAAGAGTATAAGCATATATATTATTTATTGGGCTCACAAACTCTATCTATGGCTAATTATGAATTGCGGAAGGATAAAGTGAGCGTATGCTCTGGTGATGGATACAATAAATAAATAAATAAAAAAAAAAAATAAATAAAAATAAAAATGTATAGGAAAAGTGGTTATCGATTAAAATAAAATCAACAGAATTTAGTACCTTAATATTCCCGTAGGTTATGTGGCATGTTCCCTGCACCTGATTGTGATCGTTTGATCGCAGTTGGTTGGTTTTTTATTTTTATTATTTTTTGTTGGTTTTGTTTTTATTTTGATTTATATTATTTCAATCGATATCGATTCGATATAAGGTTAAGATTATATATAAGTTTCATTTTTGATATGAATTGAAAGGATGGTGTGGTCGGTCACACATGAAATAACAACGAACAAAAAATGGAGAAAAAAAGGTTTGGTTGTTGGTTAGTCAATTTTGTTTGCAAATAATTTCGGCAAATGAAATGTGGAAAACGAATTGGATGATGGAGAAAAGTAGTACTGCATGTGTTGAGGGAAGGATTACATATGATGATTGTGTATAGGGATGGATGGGTGACGTCTATCGGCAATGGTAGTTAAATGACAATGATTATAAAAAAGGTAAAAATACAGCATGTCCTACATGGAGCAGTAGATATAACGTCCTTTTTTGAAGTGCAACATATCTGTGACAGATGTTAAGATTAAATGATTATGCGTAAGTGTGATAAATATGCGTATAGAGCACATAGTACTCTTCTCATTAAGCAGCAACGCAGTGATCAGTACAAACAGAGCATTATGAAATTTGTTAAGCCTAGCGAATGCATGATTAATGGTCGCTTGCGTACGAATGAATAAACGAACGGAATATATTAGCGATCCAAAGATCAGAGCGTTTGCATGGTTGTCGGTCTATTTGGATTATTGTCTGTTATTTATTTGGAAGCTTACCCGCCAGAAATAGCGTGCAGTGTTTGTATCACTGGGATAGTGTGGAGTTGGAACACCTTCAAAAGGGCCAAACCGGGTACCGCGTGGTATAACACCTATGCTCCAAACTCCTTCAGTCTACAAATATTCATTATTAGAACAACTACTGTTGAATATAATTTTCAGAGATTAATTACTTTGTAATTTACCTTTACATTTGGCGTTGAAAATACCATTGAAGGCTTAAGCGTTAAGCTGCGGGGTAGTGTTTTATCTGCTCTATTCGGTACACCGCGCTCACAGCTAACGTCAGGCACAAGGTACACAGCGAGACGCTCGAAGTCTTCTTCTTTCATCCGGGTGACATCATAATCGCGACTGCCGTCAGGTGAGGGACTACGCGGTGCCTCGTCAGAGGGACCATTTATTGCGTTCGTGGTCTCGGTGCTAGATGCTACAATCGACGTAGTGTGTCCTTGCGATTGTAATTGTTGTTGCGTTGTGATGTTCATTTTTTTTTTTTTTTTTTTTTTTTTTGTTTTTTTGTTTTTGGTTAGAGAAGTGTATAATGAAGTATATCTTTGAATGTCTCTCCTATCGAAGAAATTTGATTATTATAATGCGGTCGTTATTGCTGCTATGCCGCTAGATTAAAAAAACTATTTATAGTGCACGCAATTAAGTTAAGGCGTAATTTGGTTCTCTGGAATGAAATAATTATAACCGTTATTTAGTTTTTTCTGGCATTGATAATACCCTATATGAATATAATAAAATAACCCACATAAAGTTGATTAGTATTTTTCATATTTTGAGCTCTTGTCAGTCAAAAAGTGCCCTGAAGTTTAATGAAAATAATTTTTTTGATATTTTTCGAGACTTAACAAGAAAGAAATTATTTTAATCGAACATTGCGATACTTATTGGTGACAGTTTGTAAATTCTATTATCAGGAAGATTCAAAAAATAAATGAACATAACAGGTACCGAAAAGCAAAATTCCTGCCGTTACTCTGAATCATGTAAAATCTCACAACTTTCTTGTGGCGAATAGAACAAATTTTGTCAAAATCTAAGGTCTTCCTGAGCCCAGCTTGTGTTCAGGGACAATTTGAATAAGGGGACTTCTGAGCCGGTAAGCTATCAAACACGAACCCACCTTATGTCTCAGGATTACCGTAATTATTGTGACGATGTTAGGAGATGTGTCATTGTCAGGAGATTTAACTGTCTATTCCTTGTAAATTTTTATATAAACAAAGAGAATAATGATTACATCAAAGACGTTAGTATTTACACATACTTCTGTCTCTTGTCTCTCTTTGAACAGGCACGTAATAATAAATTGGAGTAAGTAAAGCAGAATTCCTTGAAAATTTTCTTTTTCCGTTAATTTTTTCAGAAGTGCTTTGACTAACCAGCTATCCGCACGAGTGGCCGTGTAGGCGAGAATCGTGAGTACCAAGACATCTCAATGCGGCAGATTTTACTTTGATCGTAGCGGTCACCTCGCTATCGCTTTCTTTTTCCTCATATTCTCTCCCCTGAGCGATTAGACATATTAAAAAAAAAAAAAAAAAAAAAAAAAAAAATTCGTAAAATCTATATCGTAAATTGATATCTCATTGGGTCTTTTCAACACTTCAATACTTGATTACACCTTTAACAATGTACCGGCCGAAGTGAGCTTGAAAAGGTCCTCTCAATTAAATCTGTTGGTCGCTTGGCCGTTTCATGTAAAGTAAAATGGCAAAGAAATTTTTCACAATTCAGACCGATTCTTTGGTTTGTTTCGAAACAAAAATTATTTTTTTTTAAATATAACAGCATTTTCATCGCAACATTGCACATAAGAATGTCGTTGCATACATACATTGTCACATAACATCATCACCGGCGCCATGCCATATGCATACACAGTACATAAATGCAAAAGCAATAACAAACTGGATGTTCGCCAGCAGCGTTAGCTTGATTTCGGCGCTTAACCAAATATTCTAAAAAAGAATATTTCAAGACCAAGTTGGTTTCGGAATTTGGTCGCAATGTCAATAAGCGCATAGAATGAAAATTATATATATTATGCATTTAATCGGTGCAAGAATAAACATTTAAGCAACTAACACGAGTGCTGTTAGACTTGTCACTTAAATAAGACATGTTGCATACATGCATACACTATGCTGGCCTATCAAAGCTAATGAGATGGATCTTAGATGCCATTTTAGAGCCACTCTGTGTGCACGATACAATCAATATCTTCCACGTTTGGTTTGGACAAAAGCCAGCAATGGGTGTCAACAGGTACCGTACATTATCGAAAGATAAAACTCTGCAAATCAATATAAAATTGCTTCGAGTAAATTTTGGAAACCACATTAAAATTGGCCGATCGTCGAGACATTAATTGGCTAGTATTTACCGGCGTGCTTAAGACTGTTCAGTTTCATGCTTGATTTGCATGGTAAAGGCCCAAGAGAATATATGCGAGCTTTTAGATTTTTGCTTCAATACTTTCGATTTCGAGAACGCTAGTTTAAAAGAATTAAAATAGCAGTATAACGTACCAATGGATTAGTGTTAAGGTTCCAATTGATTTCGATATATACTTAAAGTTACTGGGGAATATTTGTATCTTATAGGGTTACTACAATTGTTGTGCAAAATGTGGGCATTTTTAAACTTAACGTGGGAAATTTACCCAATCATTCACGCAGTCAATTTCAGCCCTTTAAGAGAATTTTTAGAATCCAGAAATATGTATCCCTCGACATTCCGGAAAGTTTTAAAGATATATATATCATGATTATTTTATTTTTACTTTTTATGCCCCGCACGCTTCGTGATGCAAGCTGTGCGGATGTATCTTATATCCAGAAAAACTTTGGGTAGACCTAACTTTTACGACCACCTATTGATTCAGAATCATTTTCTATATCTTTCTAAGCTTGACTGTCCATGTGTCCATCTTAAATGAGCAGAACACTAACGTGTTCTGACCCAAAGCCGAACGCTACTGAAAGTGGTTCCAATCGAAGTACTTTTTCGATCCCTACCCATATGACGCATTCTTTTGAAAAGTCGTAACATCAATAACTGTGTTAAGCGAAGCGGCATTTTTGCTCTTTTTCTTTAACACTTCCTTCTTGGATTTCAGTGTTTAAAATACGCTGAGAATTTGTAAAGCCATCAAGGAGAATATTCATCTAAATAAGAAGTTCATCACCATTTGCTTCGCTCTCTGCAGAAATCTCTAAGTGCTGTAACGCTTATGAGAATCATTTGGTTCCTGGAAGTTAACCAGTAATCGAATAACATTTTTACGACAAAAACGGCAAAAGGTCAACATGGCGTATATCCATCCGGTTTACTAAAGAAGAGATATGCATTTGAAGTTTGATGAAACAAGCGTCACGAACTTTTTCTTTGTTTTATTAAAAGTTCGATACACGTTAGTAACGCATAGAAAATGCATTCTTAGCTCCCTCTTAAAGGATAGCACTTCTTCGATATGATGTTGGAGCGATACAAATCTAGCTATATCCGACTGTTACAGTCTTTAAATTGAACTTAGAATTACAACTGGCATCGGCAGTTTAAATTCAAGAAGGGGCAAAAGTCGATCGTTAATTCGCTCACACACCCCAATAGTATAATAAACGCAAATGTATATCCCGCACCACTTTTTGCCTACTGCCACTACGTTACTGCTTCTCGGTTCGCATGTTAAGCCCACGCTGCCTCTTTTAGTATTATGTTGCAATTATGCAAAGAGATATTTGAGTGGTAGGTTAATTGCCCTGTCGAATATTTTTAATTTTTATCCTAAAATAAAATCTACAATGAGTAAAAGCCCCACCTTTTCATGATGTTGGAAACAGACGTGCTTTCGGTTTACATGTTATTGTGGACGTTTCTTTGCGCCGGTGTCTCTCCATTTTCAATGACAACATGCGCGCAACAACTTCTAACGTTGTTACCAACTCTGCAGCCGGTTTCCTTAGTTGTCGCGGGGCAAATAAACGGCCAAGCAGACGGATAGACCGATATGCTTAAATTAATTGAACAATTGATCAAGCTGATCATGAATATAACAATAATATAATATATAGTACAAGTGGACAAATTTATGGCTGCCTTCCGGGTGTTGCAAACGTTTGCGACAAAGAGAACAAATCACAATCTTTCGATGATGAATATATAGCAAGTGGCTATATAATGGTCCGGACTAATACAATTTTTTCCTTATTTTTTTTCTATTTTTGTCGCTTTTTAACATAATATCTTAGTTTGCATTTTGAAAGTAATTGAATTGAAAATTTTCGGCCGCAATTTGATTAATGAGATCTCTTTTTCAGCTTAACGCGAATAAATAATTTGTACACACAAATGCTCACTGACTGTGGGAATGTTCGAAAATATACGTATGCCTTTGAGTTTATCGTTCGGGTTTTACGTACATATTTACTAGCTTTCATAATTCATATCTTATTGTTTGACATACAAAGTTCAAGGTCAATGTAAAATTAAATGCAATCCCGTCTCGTGTGTGCTGAAACTAATTGTGTAAATGTTTAATTAGTAGGTGTAGGTGTACGAGCATGTGTGTATACATACATCAAGTATTGACTGTTGCTTTTAGTTAAAAAAAAAAAAAAAGGAAAGAAGAAGAAAACAAAGTAAACAAAAAAAAAAAAAAAAAAAAAAAAGGAAAAAAGATTACCGAAAGCAAAGCGCTCATACAAACATGGGTACATATTACGGTCTGTGCATTCTCTTATCATAATCTAACCCTCTTTGCAAATTACAAATTTCAGAGCAATGTATGACATAAAAATTCACTTTTACTTTAATTCTCGAGCACATAGCGCGTCGGTCTTGACCGTCATCATGATTTGATTTCATATACAGCTCGTCGTCACACTTAAATTGTTTACTTGCAATGTATTGGTAAACATACACACACCCATATATATGCGAGGTTGTAAGAGTGAATACGATAACATTTGAGCGAGCGATTGAGTAGTAGTGTGTGAGTGAAATTATTTGTGCATTGAAGAATTTTTCAAGTGTATCCCCCACACAATCGTAACAAGAATCAATGGCGTTTAGATGGCAGAATACGTTCGTGAATGATATTTAAAGAAATGTATGTTTACATGTACGCACACATATATGCATATATATATATATATATATATATATATATATATATATATATTTATATATATAAATGTTTCCTGCATTCCGATTTTAGAAAAATTTGTATATATATATATATATATATATATATATATATATAAATGTATATATATATACAAATGGGTATAGACCGCCAGTTATGTAAAAAAAGCACACGCAAGCGACAGGAAACAAGTGAATGAGAGTCACTTTAGCCGGCTTTTAATTGGATTTAACTCACCATCGGATGCGTTCAAAGCGTTTGAAATGAAAGAAATGCGATCCATCACAAATATCATATACGTTGAGTAATTCACTTTGATTTCACTTTCGATTCCATAGATTTCTATTTATTTATTAATTTATTTATTGCATTTACTTACTTAATTATCTATTATTATTATTATTTTTATTTTTTTATTTATTTATTTTTTTTTGTTTTCTGTGAGTCTGATGACGACTCTACGAGCAAGTGTTCTAACTATTGCTATTGTTATTCTTTTTTCCTTTAGTTTGCGTTACAATTAAATATCAACTTCTAGATAATTTTTTTATTGTTCTTTGGTTTGCGTGATTTAGCTTTTGGGCTCGCTCGCCTTTCGATGATGAAGCGCCACAAAAGCGTTGATACATATGCACCGAAAATAGAAAACTATATACATACATAATTATTAGATGAAATTGAATGGTAGGTACTTCGGTAGTTATGCCTTCTTAAACTTTTTCCTTTTCTATTATTATTTGGCCTTTTATTTTTATTTATATTTATATTTTTCAAATACTTTTTGTCAAATTCTCGTAGTGAGCTAATTCGCTCGCTCGCACCCTTACGACTGCATGTTGCAGAGCATTCTGATGCAATTGTTTTGTCGGCGAAAAAGCTGGAGGGACTTTCTCAAAGTGCAAACTTTTTCATGTAATTGTTGTTGTATACGCATTCAATACATACATACATAAGTATAATGTAAATATAAAAATATACATCTATCATGCATAATACATAAATATACATACATATATACATACGCTAGACGCTAGCCAGGCAACGTTAGCGAAAATTAAAAGCCGAATGCGGAAATTTAAAATGCAGACAATTGGATTGGGACGGGCAGCCAACAGGCCGCTTATACAATTTTGAATTAATAAGTTTACTACTGACCCATATTGAAGGAAAAGTGTTGTGAGTAAATTGTAAACTTATTCTTTGAGTGATATTTGTTGGGGTTGGTTGCAACAACACTTGTAGAGTTCTTTCTAAGAGAATAAGTGAGAAAGAGAGTATAAGATTAAGAGCAGTACGTGATGAAGCAAACGGTGACGGAGAAGAGAAAGGGTGCTTCGAAAGCTTTTTTTTTTTTTGTTTCTTTTTTTTTTTTTCTTTTTTTTTTTGCATTCAAAATCCCAACTACTATTGAGTTTTATTTATAGAATTTAGTCTACGCATATAACGGCATTTAATCCTTGACCTTTATAGACTGGTTATTAAGTTTCACTTCGTTATTCTTAGTGCATATTCCTGGTTGTAATGTTGGTGGGGGGGTAACAATCCTCTGTAAATTACGAGCACACACATTTTTTCCACCTACGTTTCAATTTTCATCGTTCTTCCTTATAATTAACTATATAGATGTGCATATATATATTTACACATATATATATATATATATATATATATATATATATATATATAGATTCTTTATTATCCTTATACGTTATCCCACATTCAAGAATAAAAATTTGCAATTATCGCGATTGATCTCGAATGCAACATGCAACCGAAGCATTGATTTTTATTAGTTTCATTCTTCACGAATTACCGAATTGCGTGGACACTTTCTGACGCGTTTCTTAATATCAAATACGAATACGAAACATAACCGAACCGATAGCGAACACATTCTAAATTCTCAGACATCCGGAAAACTGCGAAAGCGCAAAATTTCTAATAATTCCTCACTTATGTGTGTTCTTTGTTCGGTAATGGTCGTTATTGGTACTCGTGTTGGCGGCTATTGTGCCGAATCTCGAGTCCGCAATATTTCAATGAGCAATTGTGGCGCTTTGTGATGTAGGTTATGATTTTTTTTTTTCCTTTATTCTATTTTTTTCGTTTTCTCAATTATGCGGAAGGTGTTTTTATTCTGTTTTTTTTTTTTTTTTTTTTTTTTTTTTTTCTTTTTAACTTCGCAGGGCTTATTAACAAAAACGTTTATGGTTGGGGAAGAAATGATCGCGTCTTCCCGGACTTTTATTTTTTGGTATATATTTTCGGTTATTATTTGGTAGCTTTCACAGAGAGAGAGAGAGAGAGAGAGCGAAAGAGAGAGAGAGAGAGAGAGAGAGAAAAGACTTGTTGCCAAAAAATCGAACTATTCTGGTATGCGTTGTTTTGTAAAGCAATAACCACGTTTGCGTATATACAACCGAACATATATTCTTAAATATGTAAGTGCCTTTATGCGTGTGTACCTGCGTACATATATATGCATATATATATATATATATTAGTAGGTGCGTGCCTGTGTGCATGCGTGTGTATGCTTGTATGTGTATTCGATTGTATCAGTATCTATCTGAACAAGGAAGTAGCAATGAAAATGAAACGATAGTAGCAGCAATAAAAATAAAACAATTTCAAGTGCTCTGAAAATTAAGCAAACATTAGCCCGCCCCATCGTCTCGTTTTACCATACATAGATCGTAGGCCATAAGACGGAGGAAAACAAACCGAAAACTGATTTCTATCTAATAATGCATGTGCATTTGTGTGTAAATGAAATTTCAAGGACACTGAGACGCCAATGAATATGCGTCGTTTAATTGAGCAGAATCGAGTGATAAGAATTCGCTCGCGATGCACGCACAGTCACAGTGTATTCAAACGCTAGAATTTCATTTGCTCAAAGCCCAATTGACTATATGCAGTTAAAACTTATAAAGTGTTCGCATGCATATTCCCGCTGTAGTTACGAGCGTTACAACTATGTATTTATTTTTAAATATTTGATAGATATTTTTTTGATATTTGCTCCACTGTCTAGTTAACACTTCTAATGCATCCATATATATATATATATATATATAAGTATACATACATTTATATTTTATTTTGCTCAAGGTCACGATACGCTTCGCTTTTATTGTATATTTCGTTATTTTTGCTATTATTGTCGTAGTCGTTCTTGTTGTTGTTGTCGTTGTTGTTGTTGCTTTTCTGTATTTATTTTACTGCACTTTTTTATCAGCTTCAGTTTTATTTACTCTCAATGTTACTGGTAGTAGGTAGTTTCAGTATTTGTTTTTCCTGGTTCTCAAGTGCAAATGATCATCATCGTTATAATCATCATTGTGATCATCGTTTGTAACGATTTAATTTATGTATTCATCGTAGAATTTATTCTTCCTAGTGAGCACGCATATGTATGCGTTTGTAAATTTAAACGTGTCTTAAATAAACATAGACGTTTATTACTCATACGTAACGTATTTTAATTCCATCTTTACTTTAGCTTTGTTGCTGCGGTTTGTATATTAGATTTCCGATTCCCTAACACTCGGAGGAATTTAGGGGAAAATATTTTAAGGGATGCGATGAGACGCCAATTATGTCTTGAAACACTTGCTTATAATTGTTAGATAGGCTTTTGTTTATTAAAAGGGATTAGGATCACTGATCTACGGATATATTGTAAGAGCAGGCAAACAGTGAAACTTCAGATTACTCAATATTGATAGATATGCTGAAATATTACCACACTTTCTCAACATAAAAATTCAATATCGAATATTTCTAAAGACGGTCAGGCTTGCAATGGGATCATGTCGACCAGATAGCCATACTGCTTGAGATTTTAGTTAGCTTGCAAATCTATAAAATAGTAAACATCTTTTCTACTTGAGTGTATGAATTTTGTAATCATTTCAATTATTGTAAATTACTGATCGGATTTAGAAATAGCTATAAAATATAATTTTTTTATAGTTTTTTTTTTTTTTTTTTTTTGTCTTTTGGAAAATCCAAAAGTACGTTGCCGACATCCCCCCTTAAAGTACGCATCAACTTCGGATTGACATAGTAGTAGTTGCGTTGCGCACTCATGATCATAAGGAACGAAGCTCGACCTTTTCATAATTTACATTGATAGCCGTCGATTCAGTTCTAAAAAGTTTGAGTGCGATTTACCCACAACTATGTCCATAATAGTCCAATAAGCGTAACTTACAATCCATCGCATATATTAATCAAAGATATGGTGGCTTTTTTTTGTAAGACCACAAAAAAAAAAAAAAAAAAAAAACAAAAAAACATGTAAAAAATGACCCCGACCACACATTTGAAATGCTTACAATTAATTTTGTTGTATTTGTTGCAGTAAGCGATACTTACTTAGCAAATCAAGCAATCTATCTGCCTACAATCGAAGTCATGATTATAATGTGTTCAAAGCTTTTTCTAAAAGAGCGAAGCCGAGCTTTTGAAGCTTTAAAATAAGGCGAATCGTTGTTTGCATTTAACTCCAATTAGTAAAAAAAAGTCAATCATTTCCTTTCGCTCCGCTTTTTCTTCTTCGATTAGTAGCTCAAAAATCGGTTATTGCAAAATATACATTAATCGTTCGATTTTATACATATTTCCCCATAAACAATCTTTTAAATGAACCTACGCAGACCAGCAAAGTCGACTCAAGAACTTTTACAGGACAAAGGTTTACCATACATGGTACAACATATCGTCATATTATAATTCTCAGAGGGAAAGCGCCAAATTTTCAGAAATTTCATAAGTATATACCGGAGAGTAAATATCATATAATTATCATAATTTATTGAAGGCAGCTGTAAGTTTAAAACCATGCCAATCGGTTCGGCGGTTCTATAAAAAATCTATGTCTTGCGAAAAATTATACGCATTGGAACTATAAAAATTTCGTAGCCACTTTCGCAAACCGAAATTGCGTTTTCGAAGGAGATGGTGTTAAATAAGTGGAGAAAACTGCTTCGAGTCTTGTTTTTATTTGTTTTTGCATGCGGTTACTGGTAAATTATGACTCCATTCGGAGCAATCGGTGGGATACACTATACGGCATATAAATCTAGGCATAATCTGAAATTTTAATTTAAAGCATTTGTGTGTTGCTGTGCCAGTAATATCGTTGATATATTATACCAGGTACCTAGATACCTTCAATGAAAGTAACTAGCACTGAAGATATTGTAAGCAAGTAACCTTCAGCCGAGTTCATTCAAATTCTTCCTATTCGGTTCAAATGCTAATGTAATTATTAATAATTAAGATTTTCTTCACCTCTTCACCTTTACGCGGATCTTGTGTACCGTTCGTCGACCTCAATTCTTGAATGCATCGTTTTTCTTATTAATTGTAGGTCAAGTAATTGGGCGATCAATATATTTTTTCAATGCTTGAATGGTTTTCGGTCACCGAAATTATACCGAAGTTAAAACCGATGAATTTTCGCCTCATGCGATCTTTTTTAATGCATTTATGCATTTATTTTCGATATGTTTTTGAATGGATCACGTCCGATTTAAGAACTTTATATGGAAACGTTTTCCTGACCCTGACATTTCAGCAAATGAACAGACAGACAGACGCACGGAGAGAGAATTTATGTAATCTCTAATTGCTGAACGTGATAATCGAAAGCACTATTGTCTTCTAGCGATAGCTATGAGATTTGAATATGCTGCAGATATTCCGATATTTGTAGCAATCGCGCTTGAAACATAAGTAGTAGGCATTCTTTGTTTTAATATACGTAGTTATGATAAATAAAATATTCAGGTATTTGCATATACCCTTCCCGTACGATTGATGCGATTATTTAGTTATTCTATGATGAGTATCCACAATTCGTTCTAAGGCGAATTTGATGTTTTTGTTTTGATTTGTTTCGCTTTGTTTTGTTTTACTCTTTTTACATACAATGCGTGCCAAGTGCAAGTACGAATTGCAATATTTATAAGTATAGATAAGTAGGTACGATAAATTTACATTGTACATGCATGTATGTATACATTAGAAATATTTTGCGATGCATGGTGCATACGCATAATATGGGATGAATTTCAGATTCACTTATTGGTAGCGTTTCTAATTATAGCTTTAATATTAGACTAATGAGTGAGCGATGACGAACGCGCGCTAATTTCGGTCAGCCGGCGAGAGAAGGTGTTCGTCAAACATTCGAATGTCGGTCATTTTTATAAACTCATTCGCTAGCTGCCTGATTGTTTGATTATTTGCTCTCCTTTGCATTTGCGATGTATTTTGCATTTGCATATAAAATTAAGTGCGAAATTTATTTTCTTTCGTGCACTGATCGACATAATCTGAAT